CACACAGAGTCGGCGAAATCTCTCTCTCTCTCTCTGACACACACACACGCAGAGTCGGCGAACGTTGGGACGAAACAGTCTGGCTTGGCATGCTTTTTCTGTGGAGTTGTATATATAGCCAAAATGACAACACACACACACACACACAGAGTCGGTGACGAAATAGTCTGGCTTGGCACGGTCGTGGTTTGTTTGTGGAGCTGCGTATAGCAAAATGACAATCCACGTATTAGACAACGCGCACACGTACACACCAACTGCGGTGTCCCCGTTCGTCGCCTTTGCTTCTTCCCTTTTTGATGACACCTTCTCTCTCTCCAGGTCGCCCACAGCCCAGCTATCGCTCTCATCGTCATGCACCCTCCCTTTTCCCCTTCCTCTCTCTCTCTCTCTCTCTCTCTCTCTCTCTCTCTCTCTCTCTCTCTCTCTCTCTCTCTCTCTCTCCCCCTGTGTCTCTCGTCCCCGGCTACCTGCTTTCTGACTCTCTGACACTCACTCCATTTGGAACTCCCGTCGTTTCCCATCCCCTCCCTCGTGCACTTGCTCCCTTTTCCACCCCCCCGCCCCTCTTTCCCTGCGGTTCCCTCCTTCCCTGCCGGTCCCTCCCTCCTTGCCAATTCCTTCCTCGCTCTGCCGCACACACACTCCCTGCCGCTCCCTCCCTCTCCCTCTTCCCTATCCGGCTCCCTCTTCCACCCTCTCCCCTTTTCGCTCTCTCCTTCCTGCCCTCTCCCGCTCCCTTTCTCCTTCTCGCTGTCTCCTGCTGCTTTGTCTCGCTCGCTCTCTGCGCGCGACCCCCGCCTACCGCTCCCCCGCGCTTCCTCTACGTCCTTCCCTCTTCCTTTCTCCCTCTCTCTGGCGCGCTCTCGCTCTCCCCTCCCGCTCTCTCCCTACTCTCTCCCTCCCACTATCGCCTCCCACTACCGCCTCCCGCTCCCCATCACGACTCTCCCCCACCCGCTCCTCTCTCTCTCCCGCTTCGTCTCCCTTCCTCCCTCTTGCTTTTTCCCTTTCTCTCGTGCGCTCTTCATCTACCGTGCAACGTCGCTCTCTTGGGAACCTTTTTTGGCGCTTTTTTTTCTTCTTTTTGACTCCATGGACAACACAGAGAGGCACGTGGCAACATACAGATAGCGCCGCGCAGATCGAGAGAGTATGGAAGATACGGCGAATGTGATCTGCGATGGGGACTGGGATGACAGCGCAGGGAGCGGACCCGTTGAGTAGAAAATTGGATACAGAGAGAGAGAGAGAGAGAGAGAGAGAGAGAGAGAGAGAGAGAGAGAGAGAGAGAGAGAGTACCGGAGACGTTTGATGAGCGAGCACACAAACTGGTAAGGGACAAAACAATAACCTGCCATCATCACAGAGAGGGTAGGAATGAAGAGCAGACACAGAGAAACGGAGAGGAGAGAGGAGGAGCCAGAAGCGTGCACCCGTGCAAACAAAGAGGCAGTTGCGTTAGGGAGACACGTTCGTCTTCACCGAATACAACCCACCCTCCTTAAGACTGTATCGGACCGGAAAGATAGCTTATATCCATTCATTCACAGGCTGCGTTGTGTTCGGGGAGGATTGTAGGAGCGAGCTAAGATCACCCAGAAGAAAGAGAGAGAAAGAGAGAGAGAGAGAGAGAGAGAGAGAGAGAGAGAGAGAGAGAGAGAGAGAGAGAGAGAGGTTCTCAGGAAGACTGCCTACGATTTCTCAAGGTCACTCACTCAGGTCGCTCCTACCATCCTTCCCGAACACAACGCACCATGTGAATGAATGGATACAAGTTATCTTTCCGGTCCGATACATTCTTAAGGAGGGTGGGCTGTATTGGGGTGAAGATGAACGTGTCTCTCTAATGCAACTGCCTCTTTGTTTGCACGGGTGCACGCTTCTGGCTCCTCCTCTCTCCTCTCCGTTTCTCTTTGTCTGCTCTTCATTCCTACCCTCCCTGTGATGATGGCAGGCTATTGTTTTGTCCCTAATCAGTTTGTGTGCTCGCTTATCAAACGTCTTCGGTGCTCTCTCTCTCTCTCTCTCTATCCAATTTTGTACTCAACGGGTCCGCTCCCTGCGCTGTCATCCCAGTCCCCATCGCAGACCACATTCGCGGTATCTTCCATACTCTCTCGATCTGCGCGGCGCTATCTGTATGTTGCCACGTGCCTCTCTGTATACGTTGGCGACGTATCGCTCTTCTGATATTGCGACGTGTCGTTCTCTGCGCATGGCCACGTGTCCTTCTCTATGTATTGCCACGTGTCGCCCTCATCATCGGTCACCATCGAAGCCTATCGGCTCCCCCCCCCCCCCCCCTCGTTTCCTGATGACCATTGAAGTTATTGTGGTCTTGAACTACTTCATTGTCTGTGTGCCCTCCCCGTTTCCCTCTGTTCGTTTCTCACCCTTGCCCTCCTTCGCTTAAGGCATTTCTCGCCGGTGCCCTCCCCGTTTCCCTCTGCTCGTTTCTCACCTTTGCCCTCCTTCGTTTAAGGCATTTCTCGCCGGTGCCCTCCCC